TTCTTTGGAGCAGCCTTTTTCTATCGGTTATATATGAGAAGAAGTCGTTCGAACGAAGACAAAGCAATCAAATCAGTGAATGATAAATCAAAATGAAAAAAGCAACAGTCTGTACCTTAACTACTTTCTTTTCTTTCTTCGCGGCTTCGGCTTTTGGCTTCACGGCTTTTGCAACCTTGGCCTAGAAAAAGCAGATGTATTCAGAATCGATGTTTACGAACGCGATGCAACACAATATCGTGAATGCACACAGATATAAGCGCGAAACGTGAATTCTTCAAATCCTTCAAGTGATATGCCTATTCACATAATAAAAAGAATATAAATTACCTTTGTTTCTTTTTTCTCCTTCTTTTCTGGTTCGGCTTTAGCAGGTTTCGCGAGTTTGACTGTACCGCTTTGGCCGTGAGGGCGAACAAATATACCGGTTTCAGTTCCTCTCCTGAGAGCCGTATTGATCTGAACGCTGACCCTTTTGTCGTCAGCAGCAAGCTTATAGTTGGCTAGAATGTACTTTTTGATTGCTTGGCGGGATGAGCCCTTGCGATCTTTGAGAGCCAAAATGGCAGCTAAGAAAGACAATAAATGCCGGTAAACAACAAAAGAGCAATTTTGCAGAGAGTACAGAATCAGGTTAGACTTCGAATCCAATAGCATAACGGAGGATGCGGATGAATTGTGTGATATATTAAAGGGGTGGGGAGCGTTCGTACCTTTGATCATGTCGACGTATTTTGGGTGCGAGGGAGCGGCGGCTTTTTTGGTAGACATCTTGAATGAAGACGGGGAAGGGATGTCGATTGGGAGGGGGATGAGTTGGCAGACGGGAGAGCGGAATGCGGAGGATGGGTAGTGCGGAAAGAGAGTTGGGGAACGGAGCGCAGAGAGGTGCTTAATGAACGCTGGGGAATGCGACACGTGATGCGCATTTGCACTTTAGGGGCAGTTTGTCCCACACAATTCCTCCTCTCCTTTGTTCGCTGATCGTCCAAATGTCTGATGTCCGATGTCTGTGTATTCAAGCACTATTCCGTGCTTATTCCGATCCGCATATGCTCGTTGTTCCTGTTCGCTTCGCATTTCAACAAGATTCTTACACGGACTTCGCGGAATATAGGGTTAAAATCCACAGAATAGACTGAGGAATCCAGGATGACAACACATAGGAGCAGGTGGAACCTTTTCGGTTGATTGATCAGGTTGAGCTAAAAAAATTTAGTCAAGCTGGATTCTACTCAATCATTCCAAATTCATACTTTTTGGAATGACAATTCACACCTGTCCAGATCAGTATGAAGGATTGCATTTTTATATGAAAGCAAACTATCAAGGATATATTGTCGCCACGAATGGAAATGTGTCATTGATCCATCAGAACGAAATGTCTAATTGATCGCATAATCATTTTAATGTATGATTCCTCGGTAAGGGAGTTGATCCAATCATGTAATGTTTATGTTTCGAACTTTCAGGGTTGATCAAAAATTGTGTCTTGGAATGACCGAACGGAGAGTCGTGCAAGCTCTGTAACATCATGCATCAGACTCCTCGGATTACGGCGCCCCTATTAAGGCTTTGATGGTGAAAGTTTAGGGAGAACGACATCTTTTGTTTGCGAGATACCGACTGCCAACTGCTGAAACTGCATATAATTCGCCTCCACGGGTCCACTCCACTTCCACTGCATTTTTAGTGCTACGCGACAAATTCCTCAATTCTCTAATCTTCATTCTAAACCGTCCTGTGGATACCTATTACGTATTTATAAATACATTACCATAAATTGTGAGTGCTTATTGTTGCAGTTAATCATGGTGAACCTTCCATCCTCTCCGTGGAGAACATTCCTCCGCTTCTGCACATTCGCCTGCGGTGCAGTATCTTTCATTACATTCACTATCAGCCGACCTGATACCATCATCAGAGGCAATGCTGTGGATTATTTCATGTATGTTATTAGAATTTATTGTTACCTCGGCTCTGCCTTGAATTTCCATTTGACCTTTATCCCACCCCCAGGCTTCCTATCGGTTTGACGTATTTCTCCAGTTTTGCGACGATGATAGTCATTTTAATGATTACTTCGTGGAGGTTTGCACCGGACAAAACCGCTTGCTGCTTCAGCAATAGCACTTTGAAGTTCTTGGAAGTCTTGCTAGACATTGGGATGACTTCATCTTGCGGCAGTGCAGGTTCGTTATCTTCATCTAATGCCGATGTTGTGTTTCGTTAATTTACAAATTTTAATATAGCAATTCTATCTGCGCAGCGGACTGTCTGCACCATGGAGAATACCGCAAGATACCCTGGGTTTTGTAACCTTTATAACAGCGCCGTTGCCTTCATGTTCTTCTGTTGGTTCTGCTTTGGGGTTTCGTCCAGTAGGTTATGAATTCTTTCCCACAAAAAGATAATCAATGCTTATAAATCTTCTGTTTCATGTTGAAACAATTCCATTTTAGTTTGGAATATTTTGCATATGTTGGGCTTTCTCGAAGATGTGAAAACCACCACTCCCCGTGTCTCCACCGCAGTTACGACTGTATCTGCAGTATCAAACACAACAACTTCCGTCTCTCCCACCAGAGCAACGTCTAGGTTCACTGGAAAGCGCAGATCCGTCATTACTGCGAACATTTAAGAAGATAGACTGATTTGAAGTTCGAGCTAGAAGAAAACAAATTAAAAAATGATATGATCCAACGTCCCATAGCTAGAGTATTTGCAAGTATAGGAAGACTAAATAGATTGAATTAATTGTAGAAAATAAATCATTCATTTATATATACAGTCAGTCTGTCCTCGATCAATGCCCCCAAGATGAAACCAGCTTCACATCAAACTTGTTTAGAAACTTCGCCGTAGTAGGAAAGTAGTCCATCATCGAAAAGATAACATCCCGGACGTAAGCTGGAAAATATTGATGTGTGGTGTACAAAAAAAGCATTAACCCAAGAACCAATAAGGTATCTTGTTGTGGGCAAAGGGAAAGGATTAGTTTCTTGTTGCGAACTACCTGCGAAGTTAAATTATAACATTGAAATTAAACTCACTAAAGAGACATTTCTCCCAAAAGTCTAACATATACAATGCGGTCGTTAATTCGTATTGATAGTACTTCAAATTCAGATAATTTTTGATTCCTTGAAACATAGCTGGAGAAGAGGTTGCGAAAACTCTAGGCAATCAACGAAGGTGAGCCGATGTGGGATGGAGATTTACTTGAAGTATTCTGATTTTGCGAGAGACTGGTTTGTTGTGGGTTTGAAGGATAACGGACACAGCTGTGATGTGACTGAAGAAAGGCCTAAGTTCTCAAATCCAAATGCGCAGCTTGGTTTTTTGACAGAACTCTTCTTTCAGCCTTTCGCCCAGAAAAATCTGTTTCGGGTTCGCTGATTCCTCTATCGCTAAAACAGTCCTCTAACAGTCCTCCCATATGTATTAAAATTTTTATTTGTGAGAACACATTATTCATTTCCTTACAATTTTAAGTCCTTGGAATATTTTCGTCAAATCCTCTCTACTATCCCCATTATCAGACCTGTTTCCTTGCCCAGCTTCTTCTTCTATTGGTTCCAGAAGTAGTACAGTCAAAATTTAACTTATAACAAAAAAAAAAACTTTAAAAATATGGTGATGGGATAACTTACGTATGTTTTCCATCAATTTCGGCATCGCAAAAAGCATCAGTCCCGTAAATCCCATCATCAGAATCATTGGATTGGCGAGTAGACTGACCACGCTGAAGGACTCTCTGGCCTATGGGTAAAATAAAATGAGAAATTCTAGAGAAAAACATTACTGAATCAATTGAGGGAAATTGCTCTTGATACACACCGCCAAATATTGCTTAGTCCCGACTGCAGCAATCTGGGGTGGGTAGGCAATCTCCTCCTGACTAGCACTCCATTCAAACCCTAAGCCGGATCTATAAGCGATGTTGTTTTTTCCGATATCAATCCTGATTTTGTCGAAGAAGAAAGTGTTGGATAAAATAGAGACAAGATAGCTTCCCTCCGGGATGTCGATACTTAAAACAAAGTCATGTCTTGTTCAATAACAACAGTTGGAAAGGCCAGCTATCCGAACAGAAAGCTTACAATTCGAATTTGCCATTTGACTTGATATTTGTAGAGAACTGGCCGCCGTTCAGTATTACTTTGGTGGAAGAGTCGAGCTGGCGGTAATCTAGAGAAAGTTCTTAAACCTATGTTCTCCAATATCCACCAATCGAAATCCGGATCATACCTCTTAAAACATCATTCAGTGAAATTTGGCCACTGAAGCTCCTGCCCTGAAGTGGCGAGATTAAAATCGAACTATTCAAATGGAAGAGGATCGCAGTTATTCGTTTCTGGCCACTATTCAGTCTCTTAAAATGAGACGAGACAATTTACCAGAAGACAACCCAGAAGAAAAACTTGAACATTCTTATGTGTACTTGTTGGATGGGGAGGGGTTGGAAATTTTCGGCGAGCTTTCGTTCAGAGCGACCTGGATTTAAATAGACGCAGTTGTGTCCGGACCTCGTCCGAGTTCACCTGACCCTTTGAAGCAAGTCGTCCAATTCGTGTCTAACAAGAACTCAGCTCTGGACGTGAATAATCTAAGATAGACAAGGGTCTTTATCTATTAACAGACGTTGCATCTTGTTGCTTTTAGTTGCTTTCACCACACTTGCTACCTAGCTAGGCTTTGCAATTGGTCCAAGTACCACAAAGCGCCCCATGAATGTTAAGGAGTTACCCAGTGTAGGTATGAAGCGTTGATATACACAATAGCTTGAACTATGAATTGATCTAAAGAGATCAGTAAGAAATCGAACTCACTTTTCTTGCTGTATACGGCATTTTACTGCAAGTGATTTGTTACACAACTTTTGTGGTCTGCTTTTGTTCAATCTGTTTTTTATATGATAGATAATTCATGACATTGCTGCTGCCTCCCACAAGTAATTATGTAAACCTATAGTTTTTCATACCCCTCATGGCATTATTGTCCATGTGGCGCAGTGGAAAGCGCATTTGCCTCCTAAGCAAAGGGTCGAAGGTTCGAATCCTTCCTTGGACGGTTCAATTTTTGCCTTCCACCCCGATTTCATTTTAGCAACACTGAAATTTGTTATTATATACTCTATTATACGAGGCCCGAAGGGACGAGGTATGTATCTAGATTCTACGAGAAGCGAGTGACTATAATTAATGTGCTCTTTCAAATGTTTCGAACAATAACATATTGTGAACTATACTAAAAAGAAAGGATATTTTCAATTAGCCCAACCATACTTGTTTTTCGTTCCCAATAATTAACCTGCTCATTCACCTTTATTCATCAGCGATCCGAGAAGCGGAACACTAAAGGTGATAGATAAATCCATGGTCGTAGAGAATCACCCAAAGTAGTAGAAAAAACTTTCAATTCTTAAATTTAACGAATTACTTTAAAGTGTAGGGGAAGAGTAATCGACGGGAAGTATACGTATGAGGAATAATCTTAATATCGATGATGGGTAAATTGTTATACCGTTGTACATCACGCGCAAGAGATCTCAATGAGGTTAATGATTGCGAGCGAAGAATCTTCCAAGAATTATTGCAGTAAGCTGCAGGTGGAACTGTGATATAGAATAGTTTGTTGTCTGTTCAAAAACTTAGAACACAAGCGCAGGTACTCATTTCGAATATTTCCTTGGCCCCACACTTCTTGAGAAGCGCCCTCCAGATAAAGCGACTGTCATAAATAAATAACAGGGTTACTTTCTTGATATCTTTCAAAAGATCCAATGATATCGACAGATTGAAATCTGACGCATATAGCTGTTTCAAATGAGTTGGGGAGCTTTCAAAGTAAGCAATATGGGGCAAGGTCCAAGAACATCGCCACGACACAAGGAATTTGGTATTCTCTTATTTAGATGCCAACCCTTTTGCCATATAAGAACACAAATAGTCTTCACTACCTGGGGAAGCGAATATTGAGTCTCATTAAAAGGTGACTGACAGTTAAAGTGATAGACTGTGGGAGAGGGTGCGTTGAGGTTGAAACTGTCATTATATCTTTTAAAGGAATCCCTTTATATGTTGTTACCCAGACACCTTTCATGTAAAACGTATACCAAACTGATTAATTTCAAATCACAAACTAACAAAATTTAAGTTCATAATGTGTTTCTCTCAAAACGTAAGGCGTCATCTTGGGCAACATATGTTGGATCCATCTTTCTCTTGCACATGGCAGGGAATAAACTTGTTGTGATCATGCCGAGGAGGTGCATTTCGTAATAGTAATATACTTTTCTTAATATTCATATATCGTCCTTAATAACCTCCGACTGTAAATGATAACCTCTGGTCACCTCATGAAAGCTATCACCAAGACATTCTGACGTAGAGATGTCACGGATCGCGATGTCTTGCACGACCTCGCGAGCATGACTTTTCTGACTATGTTATAGAGACATCTTGTTCCAAGATATCCTGGTGACATCCTGATACCCATATATATCGGGGATGTCGCCATCGTGATGTCACCAGGGCATACTTTGACGAGAACCTCCTGGAGACCTCTTGCGCGCGATGTCCCCAGGATATCCTATTCTGAGACATCCGGCCATATCTAGGAGATGTACATCCCGGACTCTGAGTGTGTAATACATCATCCTAATGCTGTAAACGTGCATTTATTCTTCTCAGTTCATCAAACGAATTTTGTATAAATTGCTCAAGCAACTGCGTTGTATGTATAAGACCGACATCTAGTGAATCCTGTTTAACACGGCATTTGTTGGTGATTTAATCGAGCCACGAAATGGCGAAATATACATCTCTATTATACGAGATGTGAGTGCATTATATAATAAACTGCTCATGGCGCCCTCCCGCCCAATATTATGAACACAAGGTGGAAATGGAAAGTGGAAATGGATTAATGTGACAGGCTTTAGGCGAAAGGAGTTAGAGAGGAATAGTCACAGGGTAATTAGAAATCAGAAGTAGCGACGGAATTGTGAGCAAGTAGTTCAGAGACAGCATGTACATAGAAGGCTGTCATAAAGGATGGTACGAGACGCTCCGTTAGGAAAAAGATTAGAGAGATTGTTCAGATAAGCAATTTTGTCTTCGCAAATTCGCAAAGTCACGAGACGCGCACGAAGGAATAAAGGTGCTATGAGCAGTTATTTTATGAACGAAACATCGATGTATAATTACAATCTCGCTTCAATCGTTTGTTGCTATTTATAGCATTTTGCTGATTCTTCGACTGCCGTTGGACATCTCAAGTGTCGTGAGGCAACGAAAACATACTTTGTCATTTTCCGCAATACTAGAATCTCGGTTGTTTGTTGGAACGGAATGTAATAATTTTAGTTCATGTTACTAAATTTGATCTGTATTTTTATGTTTGATGTTGTTAACATGTGTTGAATGTTTCGAGTTTTTATTTTCGGCATTTGATATTCGTAACATATGTGTAGCGTTTCATTATTTTGTATGGAGTTTAAGTATCTACAGGGAAAAAAAGGAAAGGAGAGAGAACGGAATTATAACATACAAACTTTCATGAATATGATTTTATTAGTCATTGTATATCGAAAAAAATAAGCTTCTATATCCGTGACGAGTAGCTTCAGTCTTCGATGTATCGCCTATTATAAATATCCCCATATCACCCGAAAGGAATAAATTCCCCAAATATCCTTCTTTCCGACACCTGTCCGTTATTCTCGATGTAGGAGCATCAATACATTAGAAATATGAATCCGGTGATCAGAATTGATCTGGTGATCGGTATTGGATTGCTTATAAGTTTAGAATTGGTGGTATCATATGTTAGAATGCCATGTACTAATTGTACATTCCAAGCCGTTGATAGATCCTGTGTTGTGATCTCTTTCAGGATACCCTTTCGTTCGAGCAATTTAAAATTCGACTTTGGCTTACAACACATTTCTTTGGTATTAGCAGGGTCGCCAAACTATGCAGAAAGTCTTCACCATCGTGAATCACAGTGTTGCCGAAAAGAACTTGATCAGATCACTGTGGACGGACATTTTCGGATATCTTTTACATTGAGATCAAATTCCTATACAAAATTGTAGACATATATAGCAAATATCAAATAACAACAACTAACAACATGTATGCACATAAGACATGATAACAACATTAAAGATATACGAAATCAGGTAAATTTGGGTCCATGGACTAAAACAGTTCTAGTTAGTCCTACCACATGATCGAGCAATCACTTCATTCCCTTACCATTATACTATATGAATTCAACGTTCCCTTACATGAGTCACCACATAATATTTTAACGAAACAGGCCCTCGGAAGGCATTTCACCAGTATGGGATTTCGAATAGGAACTATTGTTGTTTTTGGCTGAGGTTTAGTGTGGCGACGCGGAAAATTCAGGACGCGCATTTGAACCCCACGAAACATCTACGAAAATGTCCACCCCTTCCGACCAGTTGTTATCAGTACATACACCGATGCACTCCGTCCTCGACTAGTCAGTTTCAATCCAAATCACATACTGATTTTTGAATTAGCAATTGCTCTCGTGTCGGGATGAATACGACTAATCTTATTAATTGACCTGTTTGTTTTCCGAGACAAACCGTTGAACCACATGGCCGTAAACGATAACTTTTACAACGTCCTCAATACTAAAATCATGATTGGTTGTTAGGGAGCAATGGAATTGTTCCGGCTCAAGTTACGAATCATTATCCCGTAACGTGATGTTTCATATAAATGAGTTATGTGTTTAAATTGTGATATTGTCTGATACTGATATTCGTAACATATGTCCATTTCATTATTTTGTGATATAATACGGTATTTAGAGGAAAGGAAGGGAGAGCAAGAGAATACAACATAGAATCGTAACTAACCAACTATTATTTAATTAATTATTATGCTTTGAAAATTACGCCCTACAATATCCAAAACGAGTAATATCACTCCTCCAATTATCGCCTAATAAAGATAAACCTATATTTCCCATAAGGAATCGCAACCCCGAATATCCTTCGTTGCGACAATATTTTTCAAATATCGCCAGGTACATTAATCGAGTGCTTGGTAGTATTCCAATATTTATGGATGCCAGTTTTTGATTTGGTACATATTACTTGTTTTGGGTTAACCAGTTATTAGTTATAGCTGCACTTGTTTGTATCTATTCACTTTAATATAATTGCATATTGTTGAGGATAGATTCCATGGCATATTCTATTCTATTTCTAGATCAACCCTGTCAAAGCATTCTCACCGACAACTGTTGCAGTGAATCTTCAACATGACAATGCTTAACATGTTCATTCATCCTAATATCTCCTGATACAAATTTTGTGACTGTCTAGACAACTATATAAGTGGAGCACCCATGCGTTTTTCTTCGTTGATATTGGAGGAATAAAAGTGCCTTGTAGTTTCCTCAGGACCATGTCACCCGGTCTACTATAAACTTTGGTTGTGTAGGGCAGGATGAACGCTGCAGAAAAAAAGAGATCTTAATTTTCTTACTGTACTCGGTGTAATGTAATGCTTCCAAGCAGAAAGAGGGCGAGGAGATTAGAATAACGAACGAAGACGTAGAGTTCAACCATAGTCCACAAGCCGAAGGCGGTCAAACCTATGGGGTACTTGTCACAGATCAGATGCGTAATATCAAACTCTATATACAATTTACAAGCAATATTCGAAAATACGCAACTTTCCTTCCTTACGAGATCATGTGACGTAGAGATAGAGGTATTATGAATAAAAGATTGAAGATAGTTGAATCTCAACCAATTACAACTAATGATGTTAAGTGCGCACAAACCAGGTCTCCGATGCATCTCATGTTGTAACTATCGAATATTCAACGGCTAAACTAACATATGTAATCACTGATTTCGTATGAGTCCAGTCTCATCTAAATCGATTTAGCAATTCTCGGACTTTTTGTCACTTAAGAGTCTGTTCATTTGATCGGTTTTCCTGCAGCAACGGTTTACGTGCTATTAGTCTAAAGGTTTCTATCGGTAACTGAAATATTACATCATCCGTACTTCTAAA